CCCAGGTACACTCGAAATATTTCCTTGAAATACAATTTACTAACGTGAATGTGTTTGGTTTTTCTTACTAATCAATGAGAAGTGAACTTCTCTTGCTCAAAACTGGTAAATGCGATCAAAATCCATTACAACTCCAAACCACTAACACTATGACAAAGAGTGTTTTGACCAGCATTGGCGATAATTCCACCTAAGTGAAGCACATATTAGTTTAGTGGAAAGCAAACAGTTATTTTTAGTCCATATATTTAGAGGAGTGAGGTGCATAGTTTGGACCACAGTGGTATTGCGTTGTAACGAAAACACAAGTGTGACTAGCCCGATGGTGAAATACCATTTGTGTACATAGGAACTTTTAACATTTTTCATATTGAATTCATAATTTTAGTTGGTGTGTGAAACGCTTTTTAATGTTGCAGATGATGGGAGGCGAATAGGATGCGAAACAAATCTCTTCAATGTGATGTGAGCTCCATCTAAATTGTGCATTCTGCTCCTTTGCGTTCAGAAGGAAGACTCAACCTCCATTATGCGTTCTTCTGGTTGGCTTAGTAATGGAGCAAATTTCTTTTTCAAATCAATATTCTATAACCCCCGCGCCATTGTGTTGTATTAGAAGTGGTTATTTTGATGATGAGAATAAACGGGTTCAGAATGTGTGATTTTTTAAGATGCAGTATCTGAAAATAGAATACAAAAACGAACTTGAAATCAGAATGTGCTCATCTTCGTGCTCTATTTCCTCGAAATTTTTTGGAGTTAGTAGTGTGTGTTTATGAAGGGAATGAAGAGACTGATACCCTGCCCTAAGATAAAGATATTAAGTCATCTGCAATATTAGTATGTGATATCTCAAATTTAGACCTTTTGGATGACATTAATTAATTACTAAAGTTAACAGCTGCGATGGTTTGTTTTCCATAAGATATTAGGTCGTTTGCAAATGGACTGAAACGTTCTTAGGGTGGTCAAAATACAAGGGGAGGGAAGTAACCAATTAAAAAAAGAAATAAGTTCGATAATTGAAACCTCCAATGTAGACGTTATAAATGTGCATAGAACAATAAAACAAATCAGTAGTTGAGTGCATATAAATTTGCGAGGCAAAGTAAATGCGAACTTGGGATAACAACTATTAGTTAGAGCCGTCAATATGGGCTTGGCCATTGGGCTAGCCCAGGCCAGTTCGTGATTTAGCAGGGCTGGGTTAGAGTTTTTGGAGCCCATTTAAAAACGAGACTTTTAAGCCCGGTCCGAGTAAGCTCGTGGCTCGTGAGGCTTGATTGAGGTTGGCCCGGGCCGGCCCGTGGCCCTAATAAAAATATGTATTTGAAATATATAAAATATAAAAATTATACGACAAAAAAAATATCAAGAAGAGTATCCAAGCTTAAAGTTTATTAAGCTCATCATATTAAAAGATCAAAGTCTTAAAAATTTAACTAGTTTTAAAAATTTAATTATCGTTAATATTTAACTAATTAATATTGCATACGAATTGTAGATGTAGATGAAAGTGAAGATATTAAGACAACAACTTCTCACAAGCGGATTCAAATGTATTTGATGAAGATGATGTGTTGGATACCACGTAAGCATCATGGACGTTCTCTTGAATAGTTTGTTTTGAGTTTAGACTTTTAGTGAATGAAATATTAGTCTTGTCTTTTACTTTTTAATGTTTATCATATATTGGAACAATATAAAAAGTTATTAAGTTTGTGAAATTTTTCAAATAAGATTTTTTTAACTTTTAAATATTTATCTTTTTTAGGTTAGAACTTAAAAGAAAAATATAAAATTATATTTTAAAAAAAGATGGGCCGGCCCGTGAGGGCCCGTAACCCACATAGGGCTGGGGTGGGCTGATCATTATAAGGCCCATCAAAATGGTGGGCTAGCCCAGCTCAACCCGTCAATTGCTAAAGCCCACGTGGGCTGGGCCGGGTTAAAGCCCAACTCAACCCGTCAATTGCTAAAGCCCACGTGGGTTGGGCCGGGATAACCCGGCCACGCCCATATTGACAGCTCTACTATTACTCGCTCCATCTCATATTAACAGTCGTGGTTATTAGAAATAATTATCTCAAATTATTTGTCATTTTAGAAGTTCAAGATAAAACTAATTATCTTTTTCCTTTTTTACCCTTAGTAAAAATTGTTCTTGAAGATGGAGATAACACATAAATAGAATGAATATTCAATGAAGAGAGATTATATCTTAAGATATAAATAAGGGTAGAATAGTCCAATCTCTTTCCTAATTAATATTTCTTAAGGGGCGCGTAAAAGAGTAACACGACACATAATATGAAACGGAGGGAGTAATAATCTATTGCTCTGCAAGAAATTGAAAAGATATACTGAACTTATTAGCAGTATTCTGAAATTCAAATTGCCAAGTTGAGAAAAGTAGAAGAAGGAACCTATATTTTACCCTAAGCTCAAAGAAATGACAAAAAGGATAAAAAATCGATGAGAATTTATTTTGGACCATTCCGAGTGCTTTTCATTACTCCAAATGAATTTATAAGTACCGGGTCTACGCTTCCCTTTCCATAGTATCTTATTTGTGTTTTATTTCGCTTTATTTTATGCAGTGAAGACGGAAAAAATTGTATTTCAAAATAGTTATTTTAGAATAATGGAAAAAGCTAGACAAGATATTTTGGAAGAAATACGTAAGTGTCTCGGCTCTATTCTAAAAACATTTTTTTATTGGAGATTTGAGGTGTTTGGCAAAAAGCAAAAGTGATTTTGAGTTGCAGTTGATATAATTTTTCTGCACCAATCTATCTTTTAATAATAAATGACACTATTTTCTCCTGTTCCATTCTGGTTGTTGCCATCTCCCGTGTCTATTTTGTCTCGTAAGCGGAAGTGAACAAATGAATAAATTACTATAATGATGAGTGATAACATTTTTTATATTTTTATCCAATATTTTCATTTTATTTATATATACATCTATATAGTACTATAATTTTTCGAGGAACGCTTGAGACAAGGTATGTCTGCTCTCGTGTGGGGTTGAACGCCACGATAAAGTTTAATTAAATAGGGATAGGCTATTCAAAAAGAGTAAACTTAACGGTATTTGCTTATATTGTTCTTTTAAGCTTAGTAATAATGTGACATGTGAAACCTCTTATGGTATATGAAAATTTGCCGGGTTTTCTTGATTCTATTTCTATGAGTCACCAATACTTTTAATATTTCATTGACTTGAGTGAGCTATACGTGCTTCTTCTTTTTCTTTAAACAAACAAGAAAAATAAAGGGAAAAAGTGAAAACATTAGCTTTTTGGTAGTGTTAGAATTTGCGTTTGGACTATTTGGAGAACTTTGTTGGCTAAGGCGGTCAGAACTCCGAAGAAAGTAAACAAGAGGCTTGTTTTTTCCCCGTAAACCTTTCCTCTTTTATCCCCTCTCTTAGTATATTCTAGTCTTGCTTAAGTCCTCATCAACGTTTATTTTATAGCGCTGGCTTTGATGTTCTGCATGTAATTAAGGTCCTCTTTTTTGGGATGGAAAGAAGGCGAGAGATGCATGGTAATTGATCAAATAGGTGTAAGATTAGCCTATACGCAGAGACGGATCCATAATTTGATGGCTACGGATGTCACTGTATTTAATGTAAACTTATCACTAGTGGAGGAGGTTAAATAGGGTGTACATTTGGTCGGTTCACTCTGTTTCATTCGTTTTTGTTCTACCTATCTTAAATTTTCTTGGTACATAATTAAATATATGATAATCAAATAAAGATATTGAGTCATATATTTGAAATCAAGGAAAAAATAACAGTAGATGGATAAAAATAATAATTAAAATCATATTCAAATAAAAGTCTTGAGATATAAAAAAACAAACAGAAGCAAAATCAAATTTTATAATTTAAATAAATAATAAAAAATGGAGTTGTATAAAGAGAGAAAATACAAAGATGAAGAAAATAAGAAAAAGAGAATGGAAAAGGGAACAAGTAGAGGAAAAGTAATATTGAATTGCATTGAGGAAAAATATTTGGTATTTATTTGAAATCAAGGAAAAAATAACATTAAATGGATTACAATAATAATTAAGTCATATTAAAATAAAATTTTGAGAAGTAGAAAAAGAAAACATAAGCAAATTTAATTTTAGAACTTAAATAGATAAAAAAGGGGGTTGTATAAAGAGAGAAAATACAAAGCCGAAGAAAATAAGAGAAATTAAGAAAAAGAGAATGAAAGAAAAGAGAATGGAAAAAAGGAACAAGTGGAAAAGTAAAATTAAACTGCGTTGAGAAAACCTAGCCTCGATCTTGAGCTTTGTATCTTAAGTCAGTACTCTAACCGTGGCACCTACAGTCACATTGTTACTTGGGGTGCCAAATGCTTATTTATGTACGTTTTGTGCGTGAAATACTAGTTCATATATGTAATTCTATCCGAGCGATCCGATGGCGTACTACCCCTTTCCCCTACATAGATCCGCCCCTGCCTATACGTACACTTACAAGATACTATAACCAATTGTAATTTTGATATGTCTAATACTTCATAAATCTTCACGACGTTTTAAAGAAAAGGGTTTAAACAAATTAACGATGTAAATTTTTTGTTATTCCATTTCTAAAGTGATTACTAATTTGTCCTATGAAGCTTTTATATGTATTAACTTTAAGTTTTTAATCCTATAAACAAGTTAACAGTAGAAAGCTCTTCCGTTCTTAACAGTTTAGGCTTTTTGCTGCCTTTCCTAATACTAGTTTTTAGGGTTCGTGCGTTACGTGTGTATTTTCACTTAATGAGTATAAATATTACAAGAATTATATTAATTTTATATTAAAAATTATGTTCGATTTATTATAAAAGAAAAATATCTAAGTTTTTTAATATAATGATTACTGATGTTAATAATTTAGTTATTAAAGTAAGACACTCTACCCTACACAAGTCTGATATTTTCCTATACATATGTGATATTTCCGTATTTTCAATTTGTACATGAGCGTATTTTTATTTTAGCACTCCTATTTACATATATAGCTAGACATTTAAACATGTTTCCTTATTTAATAATATTAGTATGCCTACATAAGTATTCATTATCTTTTAATGATTATTACATTGTCAAATGGTTTATATATGTTAGGTAATTTGCATAGAAGTTGAGATATTTAGGTTAGTGGTCAATTTTATGTAGGCAAAATACCTTAAATCACCCCTAAACTTGGCTCAGATTATTAGTATCCTCCTCGAACTATGCCTGGTCTTAATTACCCCCCTCAATTTGGCATTTTGAGAGACATTACCCCCCTAGACATTGATGTGGCAAAAAGTGTGGGTGCACTTGTGAGCATGTGATTTTTGTCCTATATGAAATACTCTTATAAAATCAAAGAAAATAGATTTTTTCCAATTATTTGCCTTTTTATAGAATTTTTGTAGGATTTTATTAATTGTTTGCATTTTTGTGCACGTTTAATTCTGTTAAAAATCATAAAAAATATCAAAAATAACATACATTGCATTTAGATTTTTATTTCTATATTTTTAGGATTAATTAGTTAATTAATTATTTTATTAAAAATAAAAATCACAAAATAGCGCATTTTACATTTTTACCTTTTAATTTTAGATTAGTGATTTTTCTCTATTAATTTAGGATCAATTAATTTTTATAAATTTTATAATTTGATAATTAGTTTAATTTTAAAAGTTAGATTA